GATAGAACGGCCCAGGTCAAGGACTCTCGAGGCTTTGATCCTGCGAGGACAGAGGGCGGTGAGCAGAAGCGTGCATACCCGAATCTTCACTTGATTGTAGCACGCTGGACAGCTGCTCAACGCCGCATGCTCACAGTTCAGGCCACCAAAGCCTGGCTTGCAAACACAGCTGCCATCACTTCGACACCGTACAGGCTCTGAGCCCATGGGGTTGCAGTTGCAAGCTAGAGACAGGAGACAAATGGAGCATTTACATCAAACTAATCCCAGAAACCAGAGGTCTAGCAAAGATACAAGGAAGAAGATTAAATCTCTAATGGCAGAGAATTCTTCTTTGCCCTTGTCAATGCATTTTTGTGTTGGAGTCATCTCCTGGCTATGTGCATCTTCGAGCACATTCCTAATACAGACAGGTCGTAGCAATCATCTGGCAGGTTTGTTTGGGGCACGTGGATGCAGAAGGATGACAACAGTCCAACCTTTCTGGCAGCATTCATATTCTTCCTCCCGTTACACTGAAACCCTATTAGATATTCCATAGGCACTCTGGCTTTGTTCTCAAGGTGAATAACGTTTCTTCCAGGCCTTTTATGTGCTTGATGTAGACATTTCCCTCTATTTTACAGATGAGGCATATGAGCTCAGAGAGGTTGAGTAATTTGCCCAAGGTCACACAGCAAGTAAATGCAGACCTGCGATGAGAGCTCGGAAAGAACTAATGTTCTTTTTTTTCTGGCCTGCTGCCTTGATGCAGGAAACGCAGCAAGAAAGCAGCACCTTCACTCATTCGATCAAATTGATTGAGCACCTACTATAAGCCCGGTTCTGTTTTAGGAGTTAAGTATGTAACAGGGGGTGAGACACTGCTCTGATGAGCACAGTGATTCTCTGGGTGACAGTGATTCTCTGGGTTTTTCTATCTTCAGTGCTCATAAAACACTGATCACGTATCTAAGTATACTATCGTTATTTGCACACATATTTGCGTGCCTTCCTTTTTAGCATATAAGCTCTATTTAGGAGCTGGGATGACTTATTCATTATTATAACTTCAGCATCTAGGTCCACACTGGGTACATGGCAGGCAATTGATAAAAGATAGTCGAGTGAAGAAATGCGTGGTCTAAAGCCAATGAAATCTCTATCAATAACCTAGAACTAGCTAGAATTATAGTTAGAATATATGGCTAGAATTATAGAGTTTCCGGTGTGCTTTCTCATATCCACCACCTTGAGTTAAATATTATTCATTCATACAAGGAAACAGGCTCAGCGGGATTAATTGGCACAATCAGCATAACGCAGTAGGTATGTTACAGAACTGGACCTGAACTCAGGACTGCTGGGTGTCACATGGGCTCCTCCTCTCACAGGTGCCTTCCAGCACATCACAGCTAACACGGAGGCTGGGGTCAGGGCCACTCTGGCCCAGAAGTCCCCAAGGGATTTGTGCCCCTCAGTAGGAGCCTCAGCTTGCACAGAGTTTCTCAGGCACTTCCAGGTGGAGACTCCAGTGTGGATGGCAGCCTCTGGGCCCTTCCTGAGCAACCAGGAGTCCTCCCATCTGGGTCCCCAGAGCCACTCTGGACCTTACGATAAGCAAGCTCCTGAGCGCTGGGCACCAGGGCCAGTTTGGGACTGAGGGCTGAGTGCGTGGCGCAGGCCGGCTCCTCTAGAACATAACGCACGTGCAGGTGTGAAGGAACAGCTGGGCGGGAGGCCGTCCGCGCATTCGTGCTTTGATGTGAAGCAGCCCTCAGGAACGCGCAGGGACAGCTGCTGCTTTGAAGCCCTCCGGTTAGAAAAGCTTTCAAGCGTTGCCTTTCTATACATCAACTATGCGGCCTTCTCGAGAGGGTCTCTTAAGCTGCTTTACAGCCCACTCCCCTCCCCACTTCAGTTTGCTCAGGCTGAGTCTCGAGTCCTTTATCACTGTCCCGTCACAGGTGTGGCAGCCCCTTCCCTGCCTGCCTGTCTGGGATTGGGCATAGGATGCGGCGGCCCCGTTTCATCCCCTCTTTCACTTAGGAATGTAAACCTGACCTTTTCCGCTTCTCCCGCCCAGCTTTCTCCCAGCTCGGTCCTCCGCGGCCCTGCTACAAGGGAAACCGGCCTGCAGATCTTTGAAAGGGGACAGCCCAGGCCACTCACAGGCCAGCGTGGTCAGACAACCAAAGCAGCATCCTGTCCACGGCCGCCGCCCCTGCTTACGTGTGCACACGCCAGCAAGCTCACACGTACACGGACACACGCACACACGCACACACGACCGCTCTGGGGTGCGGTCCCACCTCGACACTTGTCTGCTGGGTTGGGAGCCAACGGGTCCCCGAAGTAGCCTGCTTTGCACTGGTCGCAGTAGACGCCGGCGGTGTTGTGGAGACACTTGAGACACCTGCCCGTCAGCCGGTCGCAGTTCCCGGAGGCGCTGGGGTCCACGTTGCTGTTGCACTGACAGGGCTGACACGGCCTCACCGGGCCACGCTCCCCGAAGGGGTCCCCGAAGTAGCCATCCGCACAGAGCTCACAGCGGGCACCTGGGAAGGGACAAATGGCCAAGCCCTGGGGGTCATTCGTGGGCAGCAATACCAGATGCAGAGGCCTCAAGTAGCCCGGCACCCTCGAGAAGCGCCAGGGAAATGCGCTTTCCCCGGGACGCCAGAACAGTGCTCTCAGGCGCAGGCGCACGTGGCAGGCGCTGGCTCTGTCACTCCCTGGGTGCCACAGAGTTTAGAACCGAGCGGCCCCACTAAGAGACTTAACTAGCTGCTTGGGGAAAAGCCAGCAGCTCCACAGAAGTGGTCACATGCCACCAAGGCTGCTGCTGAACAATCAGTTCTTCTTTTGGAAGAACAGACCAGCAGAGGAATAAGACATTTAAGAGGTCGCTAAGTTTTTCCTCTTTACTTTGGTTCATTTAAAAAAAAAAAAAAAATTTAAATCATGTACCTGGTCTGAAAATGTTATCTCCTAATTATAATACAAACCTCCCCAAACTGCTTTAGACGTTTCCTCCCATAATTGTACGCTCTGCCCCGCTCAATCCACTTCAGATAGCATTGCGCTATCTGATCTTTCAGATAATCTCTAGAATGAGCACATTTAGATTAACCCTCCGTAATCATAATTTCCTAGAAATTCTTTGCAATAGAAGCTATTTACATGAATTCACGACATCGGGACAGGAAGAGGCAGGTGGCAGAGCAGGCTGGGGGTCTTACCGGTGACCCCGGGGGGGCAGTTATTGCACACCACCTCCTCCGTCTCGGGCATCACCGAGCAGCTGAAGCCGTTGTGACAGGGGCATGGCTTGCAGCTGCGGGGGTCGTGGGGGTCGTTGTAGAAACCGATGGGGCAGTCGGCACACTCGACGTCAGGATTCTCATCCCCTGAGTAACAGTCTCCTGGGAGGCAGAAGAAGGGGGGAAGAGAAGTGAGCAGGGTTAGACAATACATTTCCTTCGATGTGGATGATGCGTGAGGGTCAGACGGTGGGAAGGCAAAACCTTCTTTGCTGAAGCTTTGCCCAAAGTGTCCGAGCACCGGCGTTTACCCCTGCCCAGGTTCTAAATCCAAACACAGCTGAGACCGGAATCTCACCCTCACTCTCCCATGCTAAGCAGACACGCTTCCTTTGCTATCCGCGACTTAACGTTGTTCCCCTCCCCGCCGTGGCCTGACTCCATTGTGGGCTCATTCAGGCACATTCATTTAGAACACTACCTGCCTTTGATCTCCCCACACAATTCCTGCAATTTGACACCAACTCCCCCACCCAGCGCTGAACCATGACAGCCATTTCCTGTAACCTAGCACCTTTCTCACAACCCTGTGGCATTTCCATAATGAAAAGGATTGAGTGTAACAAGGCACCATGTCCATCCATCTTCCTGACTCCAGCCCTACTCTCCTAATCCCTTCCCATCTCTGAAGTGAGGTCAGGCATGGTCTTTCTTACACAGCCCCATCTCTTCCACAGGAGACCCCAATCACCTGGCTGCACCCCAGCCCACCTGGTCCAGGTACCATCTCACTCACCTGTGTCTGGGTCACAGGCCCCTCCCCCTTGGCAGTTACATGGAATGCAGGTGCCAAAAGGCCCCAGTCTGGCCGAATCTCTTTTGTAGCCAGAAGCACAATCCTGGCAGAACTGCCCCTTGTACCCAGCGGGACATACACAGTGCTCGACCCAGGGTGCTGGGGCTCCCGAGACAGGGCGGGCTGAGATCAGGGTCACATTGTCAATGTACCCAGTACCTGCAATAGAGAGAACAGGGTAGAAGAGTAGCAAGTGGTAAGGTCTAAGGATCTAAAGTCAGACGTCTCTTGGGATTTTATTTTTCTCAACACCCTATCAAAGACGGGTGGTGTTCCCACATCACGCCATATGGAGAGCTGGAGCAGTCCAGCATCATGACTGAGCGCGCAGTCTTTGGAGTCGGAAAACTCAAGGCTTACATTCTGGCTCCACCTTCAATAGCCGTGTGAATCGATCAAGTCAACTAACCTCTCCATGACTGTGTTTTCTCAAGTGTACAAGAGAACTAACAGTGGTATCTACCTCCTATGGTTTTGTGAAAATTAAATGAGACAACACATATATTATAATGTACCTGGCATATAGTAAAGGCTTGATCAATCGTTAGTAAACACCTTTTCTATTTCCTGCTTTATTTGTGTATCAGTGACGTGGAAATGGTGCATGCTAGCCATGCTTTCTTTTTGCATGGGTGCTAAAAAGCTTGAGGAACTCTTGTTAAATAATTCCATTTGGGATTAGGAGGACCCAACACACGAAGTTCAAAGGAGGGGATTAATAGAATATATTATGTCCAAACATGGTGGCATCGAGTATAATCCGCAAAGGAAAAGCTACTTAAGGAATAAGCAGCACTGTGTTGCAGGCACCATTTCCTAGCTAAGGAAATGCGTCCATTTGTTGTAGATTATCTTTCTCAAATAATCAGCTTTAATCTGAACTCCGAGACTCTTTTAGCAAGGTGGTATCATTCACTCTTCATTGGTGCTGACCTCTTTTTAGAGAAACATTCCTTTTTTAAAAACTTCTAGACTGTAAAAAATTCAGACTCCATTAGAGACTCTAAGTCAAAACCATTGAGGAGTTAATCTACTTGTTTGGAGACTGTCACCACCTTCAAGAGCTGAAATAAAGGAAACCAAAACCTAAGAAGAGAGAATCCATTTACTTACTGTATTCTCCATACGTAGCTCGGATCCGGAGGGCTGTGAGGTTCCGCAGTAACCTCCGATACTCAAAATAACTCAGCTGGGGGCTCCACTTACTGCTTGGATGCTCATTTAACCTGCATAATTTAAAACCAAAGCTTTAAAAATCTGACTCTTATCACATCCCTACCTGATAGCTAAGCCCCTTCACAGCCCTGCTTAGAGGAGTCACAGGACTAGCAGCCACCTCCCCGTGGCCATGAACTTGGAGCTTCCGCACTCCATGGGAGGGCAAACCCCGCAGGAAGTGATGGAGGGCATCCCAGCGTGGAAAGCCTAGATCTAGGGGCCATGTCACCAGAAGCAAGGTTGCTCTCAAGTCCTTAGACACCACTTTCTGTTCTTGGCCATGTAAAACCTAGTGTTAGACACATCTGTGAGTTCCAGAAGTTCTGACCCTCAAGAGCTACCGTTCATTTTTGGTTTTGTTTATTTAAATGATTTATTTGTTATCTGAGCCCATTACACTTACTTTTTTCCAGCATCGGTTTCCACTTTCTACATTGTCTGTATCCAGTACTTCCTAATTTGGAATCATGTGCCTCACTGCATCAGATCATCAGCCCCTGTGCTATTCTTTTAACTTTTGCTCTGTTTTCTACTGGAATATCTCTTCCGGGAACAACCCTATCCTTTTCGTTTCATTCGCTGATTCGTTAAACAAAAGTTGACTGTGCACGTGGTTTAGGCTAGAAGCTGCGTCAGGCTGGAGGACACAAAGACAGCCAGGAGAACAAGGTGGGCAGACAAATAGTTATAATATAATACAATGCAGTAGGCACTATAACAAATGCATGCACAGAATGCCACAGAAACTTTATCTGGGATTCTGAGAAGGCTAATCCAAAGGAAGAACATGTAAGCTGAGTCTCAAAGAGAAAGTTCACCAAGCCTAGAAGGTGGGAATGGCATTCCAGGCAGGAGAGCTCTGTGTATGCGCATCATTAGAATCAGCAGCACGCAGTTATCTAACACACCTCTTGCGTGTGTGCGGGGGTCTTCTTTTCTCTATTCCCATCACCTCTGCCCTGGTTAGGCCCCCAACCACGCTCACTTGAGCCACAGTGAAAGTGCTCGCATGGTCTAGTTAAGGACCCTGCCCAAACTGTCCTCCACACGGTACCCGTATTTGCACCCATCCTTCACACCTGACCATGACACTTTGCAACTTACACTCTCTCAGTGGCTTCCCATCACTTTCCTGGCATGGACAAGATCTAAGCACCTTGACATGACATACAAGGCCCACTGTGATGAGTCCTTTTCCAACCCTTGCAAACTTATCTACCCATCTTCCCTACATATGCAATGCTCCAGCCATAACAGCTTGCCAGTTCCCCCTAATATCATGCCTGTCCCCACCACACATATTCACATGTGAAGGCTGCCCTTCTCTGACTTTTCTCCCTGGAAAAGCCCCCTGTGCCTTTCTCATCTCAGCCCACTCATTGCCTCCTCTGTGAAACTCTCCCTGACTCCTCCAGGCAGAATTAGGCCAATTCCAACACCCCATGAACACGCACCACCACTAAAGAAATTGTCCTACCGTATTACATTTCATTTTTGACATGTTATATATCCTACTAGATCATGATTTGTTGGAGGGCAAAGACCATGCTCCATCCTTATTTCCAGCCTCTAATGCAGTACTGAGCACTCAGTAGGCACCGCTCCCTTCCCTGACCTCCCTGAATGCAGCATTCAGAGTCCCCGTGCTACAGGACCCTGTGCAAATCCCTGCAGACACACACGGGGCTGCCCAACACCTCACTCCTGCCTCCTCCTCTGTCCTCACTTCTCAGTGCAGTCCCCTCCCCCACTTCATGCTCTACGCACGCTCAACCACTTGGAATGTCCTAAATGCACAAAACTTCCTCAAGCACACTATGTCCTACGCCTCATTAACCTTTCCCTCCCTTTCTCCCTTTAGAGAGCTGCCCCTTCCCAGTTCGCCATGTCTTCCTGGGAAGCTTTCCTTGATCAGTCCAGTGCGAGTCAGTCAAAACACCCGTGTCCACCTCGTCCCTCTCTGTCCCTTGACAAGCTGCACTGTAGTCATCTGTTTATTTTTCTTTCCCATTGGCCTGCCAGCTGTCCAAGGGAAGGAATCACGTCCTGTCTCAGCACAAAGCACCATGCCTGGTGCTCAGAAAAGCTTGTTGAGTGAACTAATGATGAGCGAATGAATGAACAAAGGAACTGAACTTCAGTCTCAGTTTGCTCTGTTTGACCTACTTGTGGTCTGTCTTTTTACCTGAACGTGTAAGTCTTGGTGATCCCACAAGGCAGCGTCTTGCCAAGTGGCATCAAGGAAGCCGAGATCCGTAGACCAGCACCTTCCAGGATCACATCGTGGGCAGACGGGTGTCTGCCTCCCCTGTCCACACGGTAGTCAAAGGACAGGCTTTGCCCATAGCTCACCTGTTGATTCCCAAGAAATTTGGCTGTGAAACAGAGTTTTAAAAGATTGAGATCAGTTGTGAGGCTGGAGAGATAAACACACGTGCAAGCTGGCATTAATGTCAGCAATTTCTGCTGGAGTCCTGTGTTCTCCTGTCCAAACCACCCCACCAGGAGAGTCAGAACTGTCACTTTTGGCATAGCCACTAGTTACTGAAATGCTCAAAGGGCGTCATGACAAGACAATTCCATGTATTAGATGATTCGTAGCATGGCCCTTATGACAGACTATTAGGTAAAGACCTCAGGTACATCAGTAATGGTGCCACTTGTTATATAAAGCTTGATAGTTTACAGAATGCTTTCACAAGCGTTAGCACATTTGATGGCAATAATTCTTGGAGGCAGGTATTACTATTCCCACTTAACAGTAGAGAAAACTGAAGTTCAGAGAGGTTAAGAGAACAACTTGCTCGGGAATCATATTAGCTAAGGACAGGAACTAGGATCAGAACCTTAGCTAGAGTTTCTTCACTCAGGCACATATAACAGACTAAGGTATTTTTAACTTACAAAAGTTTGAAGCTTTGAGAAGTGCTTTGTTTTTGCAGTTCCATCTGCTTCTCAATAGACCCACAGATTTGACCACAGTCCTTGATTTGGTGGCAAACCTAGAAACGTGCCATTTGCTTAAAGCAGACACTTCAGCCAGGGTCTGACCTCCAGGACCCCATTCTGCTCTACTGGGCCATGTCTTAGTGATGGTATCAAATTGGGCTTAAGCCCCACTGTCTTCTGGAGAGACTGCTCCCTTGAACACTAAGTGGTGTGGTTTCCACATTTTCTATCTTGACTTCCGATAGTCCTATAAATGGGCTTCTATAGGAAAAATTATCCCTCACATACCAGGAGCCACAAAATAGACGGGGTCGGATCGCCGGGCTGAGCTAAACACGTCCTGATGGCGCTGCGACCACTGGAGCTTTGCGGGAGACCCATTTCTGTGGACGGCCTTCCAGCCATCAACATCTGGAACACAAATAAAGCCAGTGTATGCAGTCGAGACAAACCCTCATCATTTTTGGGTTAAACGAGGCAAGGCTTGCATGCCAAAATGTCCTAGCGGTGAGTAGTAAGTGGGGTTTTCTCAGTCTTTCTGCATTTGCATACAGTCCTTAAAATACCCCATGTGCCTCTCTACTTGGATCTCAGCTTCACCTGCTTCCACCCCACAGCTGCTCAGGCTGCTCTCCTCTTTGAGTTCGACCCTTGTGATAAGAGAGCAGGTTTTCATCTGTCTGTAATGTGCACTTTTATGGAGTTGCATAAACGGGGTCTGGCCTTAACGAGGTGAGAGGGTTCAGTACCTTTTAAGAGAAACCCAGACGTAGAGTTGAAATAATATCACTTGCCAATATTTTTATAGTGCTCTGTAGCTTGGCAACTAATTTCACATAAATTAACTCATTTAATGTATGTGAAAGCAGCATTATCAGTGAACGTGAACGCCAGGAAGACTCACAAACTCCCCAATCCAAATGAATACTTTTTTTGTGGCTTTGAAATAGATGGGGAGGGGACATGCAGGGAGATAAAAGTCTAATCTCTTTTTATTCTTGTAAAACCATACTCCTACGCTGGTATGAGTTAACTGTTCCACTATGACTTGTTCAAGACATCAGGGTGCGCCGTATTGCCCTGACAAGGCAATGGACATTAAACACTGTAAGAGCATCGCTAAAGATGAGGCAAGAATCCATCGTGTGGATGAGGAGGTGGCTGTCTGTAAGCACAGACCCCTGTACCACGTTAAAAAACAAAAGCCTAGAAAATGGAAGGCTTTACCCCGATGGAAGGTGGAGGTGATCTTATGGACGCTGTAGTCTGCGGAGCTGTGGCAGGTGGCTGAATGCCCGTAGCAGAAACACTGCGTGCAGCCCTCAGGGTTTCTCCCGTCCAGATGGTAGTAACCGGGTCGACACCTGCGGTGGTATTTTGGAATCAGGATGATGTTACGGGTTATTTTTTATTCCACATAGAGAGTACGAGGACGGATTCAGCCTCTTTCTACCTTCTCTCCCACTCGGCCCTACTCATTCCTAGAGTCTCACATTCCACCTCCACTCCGAGACCACTGATGGACAAACACAGTTTCCCGGATGGGAGAGTGTGAGGAACACTCGCCCCCTCTCTCTCTGGTGGAACAGAGTCATGTTTGTCTGGGGGGTCTGAACACTTAGTGATTCGCCCATCCTCAGGGAGGAATTGAGTGGAGGTCAGATGGGCAGGACAGGGAGGAGTGGGGCGGGCGTACGCAGAGCTGCCCGGTCCTGGAGCGAGTGCTTCATGGGGACAAAAGAGGGGAAAGTGGGGACCAGGAAAGGCGAGGCCCTGCCTCAGCTCCACGCAGCTATACTGACCCCTCCACAGACCACTATGTTTCGGTCCCCAACCCTGCCCCTTGTACCTGGGCTCTGTCTCACACAGGAAATGGGCAGGAGAACATGTGACAAAAAAAAAGATGGCTAGAGACACTCTCCAAAAGCCAAGTGCAGGCTTGCATTCCACCCCTGTCCCAGTGGCTTCTATGAGGACCACAAATGCTGGCGAGTCTTAGATGTCGGGGTCACAGAGAAGAGCGCAGGGGAATCTGGGGGGGACTTGTGTTTCCTCTGTTCAAGTTAACTACATCCTTTCACGTGACATAATGTTAGTTTTACTAATCATTTATTTAGCACTTACATTGTGCCAGGCACCTTACGTATACTCTCCCACATAATCCTCCCTACCACCCTATGTGATAAAGAATTATTATTTCCAATTTTCTTAGACGAGGTGACCAAGGCTGGAGAGGTTAAGAAACTCATGCAAGGATATACAGCTGGTTAGGGGCTGAGGTCAGATTCAAACTCATGTGCATCTGCCTCCAAATCATGTCGTCTAAGTCACTGGACCATATGTTGGGGGCATGTCCATTGCATACGATCACAGAAACGCAGGTTAGCTGCGATCAGCACATGCTTCAGAGAACACTCGTAAATAAACAAGCATTGTTTTTTCTCCAAGAGCAAGGGTTAAAAAAAATTATTATGGTTTCTATGGAAAGGCAACCTGCAGATTAAAAGAGATTAAAAAACAAGGAAGGGAGGGAGGGTGGGGAGGGGAGAGAAGAGAAGAGAACAGAAGGGAAAGGAAGGGAATCGGGCAAAACTGAATGATAGTGTTTAGGAATGTACCAGGGTAATAAATTATGAAGAAAAGCAAGAAAGTGATTACCATAAAAGTCAGAATAGTAGTCACTTCTAGGGAGGAGGGAAGGCGTTGTCACTACATGGCACATTTTTAGCAGAGGTCTATCTCTTATCATTGGTGGTGACAACATTTGTTTTATGTGGCTTTCCAGTTCCGTGTTACATTTTGAAATGAAAAAGGCTTTCAACAAATGACGTCTCTTTTAAAACTTAAACTATTTTTCCCTGCCCTCACCTCGGCAGCAAGGAACCCCTGAAAACACAAGCTAGGAATGTATTTGGCATTTCCTCCGCCCAGGTATAAGTGATTGGCGGGGTGCCAAAGAACTGCTTTCTTACTTTTAAGGACATGAGGAGGAAGCCTTTACCTCTGGGGCCAGCCGCCTAGCCCTGCTCACAGCAATCTCAGGGAGGGAAGAGTTTAGGTCCGAGCAGTTTGTCCTTAAGGAAGGTCCTGCACCGGCAAGTGAGGGTGGATGGCCCCTCGCCGCTCCACCTGCCCCAGTGTGGCACCACCCAAAGGCTCTCGCGCGTCCCCAGTTCATGTGTGTGCATGTAACCACCAGCCACCGCTGGGGCGGTCCCTTTTCTGTACACGATGGTTATATATGGCCATGTGCTGTGATATTCCCTCTTACGAGGATTTTTCCAACATGTTTAATTAGGCCAGGCCTTTCCTGGGACCAGCCTGAGTCACGTGACCTCATTACTGCATACCACCTTCTACAGAGCACCTGGGACTCCAAGCCAGCTGGCGAGGGGAGTCCCTGGGGCCCTGTGCCTCTGCCAAAGTACAAACAAAAGAAGGGACCCAGAGCAGAGTGTGGACTCCATTGAGATTTGGGGGCTCAGTTGTGTTTTTTTTTTAAAGCCTAGTTTTTGAGGACAGAGAGCAGGAAGGTCATCCACACTTGTTAAGTATCGCTTTCCATAACTGCACTCAGAGGACTGATGTTCATGCTAGTTGCCGAGGGACTTTCTGCTGTCTATAGGGTTCACACAGACCTGTCACAGCGTTCTCCAGTGACAGCTGGCTTGCAGACACAACGGCCTGAGTCACAGGGCCCCGCGATGCCAGCTGGGTCACAGTCACACGTGGAGTCTCTGGGAAAGAAGTATGAGAAAATTAGGGATGTGTCTCCAAATGCTTCACAACTATGCACATAAAGACCATCTGCTCCCGAGCAAACGTCACTGTGCTGGGCAAGTCCTTCTTCGCTGAGACTTCTGGCAATCCTTGTCCATGCAGCTCTCTCCCAGCCTTAAGGACTCACTTGTCTGTGCCAGGTGCAGCCCAGAGGGGGTGCTGTTGGCAGCAGCCAGGCCACGAACTGTCTGCTTCCACCCCCTAACGTGAGGAGGGGTTTGCACCAGCACGGAAACCGAGTTTATCACTAAACTGTTCAGTTTACTTTGGTTGACTATTTGATTCACTGACATTTTTAAACATTTTATCATTTGTTTCTCTATTGTTTAATTCAGCGATGTCTGCTTTTTATCATGATGGATTCCATTCACCTGCTATTTTAGTTCATTCAATTCTTTGTTTTGGTAATACCTCTCTTGAGATAGAATTCACTTCCTATACCATGCAATTCACCCATTTAAAGTGTCCAATTTAATGCTTTTTAATCAATTCTCAATTTGTACAGCCGTTGCTACAAATATTTTTTTCACAAATCTTGATTTTAGACATTTTCATCACTCCAAATAGAAACCCTATGCCCTCTGGCAGTCATTCTCCACCCCTCCCAGTTTTCCTCCCACCACCCCCACCCCCAGCCCCAGGAAGCCACTGATCTACTTCCTTTCTCTATAGATTTGCCTATTCTAGACATTTGCTCTAAGTGGAGCCATGTACCATATATGGTCTTTTGTGATTGGCTGCTTTCACTTAGCGTAACGCTTTCAAGGTTCACCCATATTGTACCATGCATGTACCAGTACATACGTTCTTCTGATGGCCGAATAAAATTCTATGGTATGGATATGACACATTTTGTTTATTGTTAGCTATTATGAATAACGCTGCTATGAACATGTGTGTACAAGCTTTCGTGTGGATACATACAATTTCATTTCTCTTGGGTGTCCACCTAGGGGTGGAATTGCTGGCTTTGATTGACTTTTTTGTTTCGGTGGCTTGACTTTCTCAATGAAGGTGCCATCACTTTCATTTAATTCTGGGGCAACCTCCCAGTTCTGTGCTTTGCTGTCTCTGTCACACCTTTTGCACCCAAGCATGCGTCTACCTCATGGGTCTAAACCCAAGCGTGTCAGCTTTTCCCTACGGATCTGTTGCTCCTCTGCCTGCCCTGTGACCCACCCAAATCCTGCCCAAACGGGAGTGCCCTTGGCTCCTGCCCTCCCTCGCCCAGTCAGACACCAAGTCCAGTCCCACGGCCTCCTTCCCATCGTAGCTCCCTCCGCACTACTGATCTGGACTGTTCGACAAACACACGTTCCCATCTACTGGGTGCCCAGAACTGGGGACACCAAGAGAAACAAGAGACAACCCCCATTGCCTAGGAGTCTCCAGGCAGGGCAGGAGGGCGCGAGGCCCCCGCAGCCACTCCAGGGCACCCTCGAGGTGCCTTGTCCCGCTCTAGGCACGGGGGACCCAGAAGTCAATGAGACAGAGCCTCAGGGGGGCTTACACTCTAGTGGGAGAAATGGACAAACGTGTATAGAACACGAGAGATCTGGAGTCCAACGGGAGTCAGACGTGGAGGGGAGGAGGCTGGTGAGGGGAGGCCCCTGTGAGGAGGTGACCAGGTGGGGGTACCCTGGAAGCTTGGGCTCCTGCAGAAGGGACGGCAGGCTGGTGTGGCTGGAGAGCAGGGGGCTGGAAGGAGAGCGGTAAGACACGCACAGAGTGCCCAGGCTGGGTAGAGATGGAGCAGGACCTTGTGGCCCTACAGGCCTCGATCACTTTGTGCCTTCCTCCGAGTGGCAGGGGAGCTACTGGAGGGCTGCGGGCTGTGCCACATCTCTTTCAGGTTTTAAAAGGGCTACGAAGGCAGCGTGGGCCCGGGGGTGGGTCTCTGAAGATGATCTAAAAGAATCAAGGAAGGCCAGCAGAGAACAATCTCTGCAAAGGCCCTGTGGGACCAAGCCAGCGGGGACAACGCAGGCACGGCGGGAGGCAGTGCCCATGTGGGCTGGCAGAGTGGGCGACAGGCAGCGCTTGCTCTGGGGGCGGCCTTCTGGCAAATGCTGCACTGGCGACCTCTCTACCCCCCAGCCCTCCCAACACCCTGCCAGCTCTGCATCTCCACAGACTGGTTATGCGATGTATACGGCATACTCCATCTCCTTCCAAAAAAGAATTTGAGGAGAGATACAGGATATTGCAAACTAAAGGTGATAAACGTTATGCAGGCAGATTCTTCTACCCCAAACTCACTGGAGTCAAAATGGGCCCCAGGTTAGAACTGGAAGGACTCTTTGCCTCCATCCCGGTTCATCTAAAGGGAAGCAATTGTCATGGCGAAGAACCAAGAACATCAGGCAATTTACTTCATCTCGTGCGGTTTAAGTTTCTTATCTTTAAAATGAGTAGAATGATAATCCCAGCCTCTTAGGGTCATCATGAGGACTCAGTTAGACAGCCCACAGGAAGCACTCAAACAGTGCATGGCACACTAAAGGTGCTCCGGAAATGCAAGTGGTTGCTATGTTAATATTATCGTCATCATCTGAGTAGTAGCAGCCACGGTGGGGTGCGGGCGCTCACCGTGGTCTCTGGTCTTGGGTGCACCCAGCGTCTGTGAGCGTGTGGAAGCCTGGCAGACAGCGGTCACATCTGTCTCCCGTCACACCCGGTTTACAGCTGCACCGTCCAGAGTTGTCACATCGAGCACTAAGGGAACCTGTGATCCACAAGGTGGGGAAAGGAAAGAAGAGAAGGAAATATTTACCTTTTACGGCATCAGGAAGCAACTGTCGCCCTATGGGAGCTCAGAAACACTAAGTCATAACCACCCCCTGCTGCCTTTCACCATTATTCCCCATCCCCTCAGCGCTCTTCCACCCACCAGGGAAAGTTCTGACAGCTGAGGATGTCTCCTCCAGGGGGAGAAAGGAAACTACTCATAAAAGCACTTTCTTTGCATATTTGCTCTGATTTTGCCGTCAGGTGGCATCTAGTCCACTGCTCTTTTTTTTTTTTTTTTTGAGACAGAGTCTCACTGTGTTGCCCAGGCTAGAGTGCCGTGGTGTCAGCCTAGCTCACAGCAACCTCAAACTCCTGGGCTCAAGCGATCCTTCTGCCTCAGCCTCCCGAGTAGCTGGGACTACAGGCATGCGCCACCATGCCCGGCTAATTTTTTCTATATATTTTTAGTTGTCCGATTAATTTCTTTCTATTTTTAGTAGAGACGGGGTCTCGCTCTTGCTCAGGCTGGTCTCGAACTCCTGAGCTCAAACAATCCGCCCGCCTCGGCCTCCCAGAGAGCTAGGATTACAGGCGTGAGCCACCGCGCCCGGCCCTAGTCCACTGCTCTTTAAAAGACTATCAAATCTTTGTGATCTCGAGAAGGAGCCTGGGTGGATAGGCACATGGGCCTGCTGGAGGGAGTCTGGGTCAGAAAGCGAGCAAGGTTCTCCCTCATCTCTGGCAGGCAAGGGTCAGTGCTTAGAGGGTATGATCTTTAAGAGCACAAAAAAGCATAGCGACCAAAAATATGAATGCACACCTGCCAGGAGTGGTCGGAAGTCCTCCCTGTGGAGGCGAGGGATCAGGGCCCCGCGCACCTTACCTGACTCGTGCACTAGAGTACTGGACTTGTCTTATGAGCCAGTTTTTTAAAAAAAAGCCCCTAATTAAAAAGGGAGTTTCCCAAAATTGTGAAGAAAAAAAAAAACCGCCCAAGGGAAAAAAAAGGGGCAACAGGGGAACCCCCCAACTCCCCCCAACCGCCCAACAAAAACCGTTCCAGCCTCCATCTTCTCTCCCCTGGCCCCTGCCTTGCTCTCTCCTCCCTGCATTCCCCATGGGCAAGCAGAGTGCTCTTTTCAAAACGTAATTCAGATCATCTAGTCCCCTGGTGGCTCCTCACACTAAGCAGAATAAAACGCAAGCTCCGTATCACGGCCTGCAAGACCCTACCTCTTACCTCATCTCCCCCCCTCTTTCACCAGGTCGCAGTGACCCAGCTCCCCTCCCGGTTCCTGGAAAGTGCTAAGCTGCTTCCCTCAAGGTGTCTGCCCTTGGGGCTCCCTCAGCCTGGAACGCTCTTTCTGCAAACTTCCCCTAGTTGGCCCATTCTCAGCACTCGGATCTTGATTAAATGGTAGTTCTCTAGAGAAACTTTCTCTGACTCCGGTATCCAAAACACCCACCCCACCCCTCCTTCAGTCCTCAGCCCTGCTTTACTAAGGACAATCTCAGCCTGTGCCGCCTGCTGCACACCTGGTGTCCAGGCAACACAAAGAAGGTGTCCAGAAATCTGCCGGATTAAAGTGTGTGTGCCAAGGAAGGGGCCAGGGCTGTGGTGCAAGGCGCTGAGAGAGCCGAAAGATGAGCTGGAAGGCCAGCTAGGAAGACCTCAGCTACTTTTGAATTTCCCTCTACTGCTGGAATTAGAAAACAATCCACATGTCTGAAATATCTGCCATAATTAGGCTATCCATAATCCTCGAAGCCAAGAGAACACCAACCAGTCGCTACATGTTTGTTTGCTTTTTAAGTGTGTTATTTTTCTGCGAACTTTTAATTCACTAGTAGAATTCAAATCAATAAAAGTATTGGTTCTGTGTCTATATAAAGGCTTCTATGTGGCATGTGAACAATGAAATAAATTAATGAGTCACATTCTATGTTTAGATGTGTTTACACAAATACTTACTGTTGTGTTATTATCACCTACAGTGTTAAGAGCAGTAACATGCTGTACAGGTTTGTAGCCTAGGAGCAATAAGCTATACCATGTGGCCTAAGCATGTAGTGGGCTCTACCATCTTGCTTTGTCTAAGCACACTCCACCATGTTTACACAACCATGACATCGCCTAATGACACATGGCTCAAGACACATCCCTGCCTTTAAGCAACACATGGCTGTGTGATCACTGCGGCTTTCTCCAAGCCTTGCAAAGTTGCATGCAGAAGGTCACAGGCTCTAACTGTGAATATGACGAATTTATTTCATGTTCCAAAACTTCTCAAGTAACAAACCATAACAATGGGTTTTGAAAGTGTCTCACTAAGATAAAAACACCGGCCCCCATTCCCACATTATGAACTACACTTAGGGATTGTGAACAAGGGGGTTTAAAGAATAGACGAAGAATTATGTCCTGTTTCAAGTTAGTGTCCCAATAATCACTTTCAGGGATTATATAGATATAGTCACGTGCATTTGAGGACTCAAGAAAGTATTAAAAAATAATCGACATTAATATTTAAACCAACAGAGTTTGCTTCCTTTTGAGAACCTTTTTAAAAATATACACACTTGCATGTAAAGACATGTTTTAAATAATAATTCAAATGTTACAGTCTGAATAATACACTGTCAGCCTCATAGATACATAAAAAAATAATAAAATTAAGAGAATAAGTTCAATATCACTGATGTCCACACAGACCTCAAGAATTTAGGTGTCACGCAGAAAAAAAACACACACAAACAGTGAATTTCAAAGCATCTGCAAAAAGTTATCAGGCCTTAGACATGTGGTTGTAAGAGGTGAAGATAACTCAGCCTTGTTGCTGAGCCCACAGAGTCATCACCTAAAAATAAGCCTAGTTGTTATATTTATGGGACATTGATAAGTCTAAGATCTGTGACCACTTTGGGATTTATTAATGCTGTTGGCCTCTTTTGCCATATCTGGAATGATGGCATTTTTTTGCAAGGCATGTTCTTCTGCATTTGAAATTGAATAGAGAACAAATTCCCTTATCAAGTTATTTTTTGAAAGTGAAAAACATCCTCTGGCTAATTGGGAGACCGATGTCATGTAGGAAATTAAACTTGTGCCACTGGTTTAGTGATCTGTGCACTCTTCCCCTCCCCCTCTAAGTCTCTGTTACTTCTTTTATAAAACGGAAAAAGCAATAGCTTCCTCTTCATAAGGTTATTTGTGAAGATGAATTAATTACTGGATGAGACACACCTAGAAAAGAGTCCGTGCATAGTACATGTTAGCTAGCACATAAGATAGAAATTGTTACTGTGCTCCACCACTTCCTGCCAGGCTGTTCACACTGAGTCTGGGATATCTATTCACCAGATAAAAAGAAAGCACGAGGCTCACTATTGCTGGGTGGGCAGCAGCAGTAGAAACAGAAGAGAGAGCCGGTGAATCCTTCATTGCACTCTCTCCTTGCTAGGTAACAGGTTCCTTGTCTACTCAGAGACTAACAACCTTGTCTTCAGGCCACACTTTCCAGCTGAGCCAGTTAAACTTCTACTTTCTTTCTCACTGATCATTGTGCTGGGATGATCCAATTCCAGTGACTCACAATGGAGCTGCATGACCTGAGGGCACAGGGGCTCTTCAGAGAGGTTAAATGGCCATTAAAATGGAATACTCTTTCCTTGAGTTTTTCTTTACGAAGTCCTTTGATTCATAGGGGGAAGTGCTAAATCCAAAAGATTCTGGATGCTGAGTCTACACCACAAAGCTAAGCAAATCTGACTCAAACTACATCACAACAGCAACTTAGTGGTCCCTTTAGGAGTGACCACTGGCATATGGGTCTACATAAAAACTGGATCACCCCGCTTTTCTGTAAGGCTCCCAACCCACTCTACCAGCAACTCACAGCTACACCAAAATCTGCCGATTTTTAGATTCTTTCATCTGCTTCTAGGAATTGGTTCCACAGACCTACACGGAGTCAATGCCATGCAATAAGGCTACACCCTTTAAGTGGATGAATACTTATCATATGATGCTATTAAACACTTCTAGCAAAGAGAAACAGATAATGCCACAAAGATAATAGACAAATGAGTCAGTAAAGAAAAAAACAACTCAATTTATTTACAGAACCACCTGTCCCTCTTTTTATTTACTAACTTGTCTTTACTGTCTGCCCACAATGAATACAGCACAGCGTATCTGTGTGCACAACAAAGACCTATGGTCCTATGAATATACCACTGGGCGGAATACCTACAAAAAGCCAACTAGTTCTTTATATACCACTGGGCGGAATACCTACAAAAAGCCAACTAGTTCTAGGAATCAGCCACTCCGTTAGGTGCTTCCTATTTGTTATTTTATTTTCTCTTGTTGACAACCCTATGAAAGATGCTAATCCTCCTATTTACTTCTCTGTCTCTTTTATTAGTACCACTTCATATTGCTAGCACCTAGCACAGTATGAGAAACAGATCTTTCTAATCCCTTGTTTTTTGAGAGGTTGGTCAAAGGGATGGTTATAGATAGGAAGAACTATCGCTGGAAAAGTGTGAGCTTCCTTTGTCCCTGGGTCAAAGACTGTCATCTACCTAGAAAAGTTAACAATGTGACTCTTGGTACTAGAATTCAAGCCAACATGCCCTAAAGAACCCAGCTGGTTCCATCAACCCCAACTTGAGAGAAATGTGTTTCCTTTCAGATTCAAATTGCCAAGAAGACTAGTGCCAGGTAGATTCCCAATTATTCCTGAAGTTGAACATCTCCCTCTTGGCCTGCTTGCTTCCCCACCTGCTCTTGCTCCCTCCCTCCTTCTCTGCCTCCCTCCTTCCTCCTCTTATCCCCTCCCACTCCCCAGCTCCCTCTCCCTCTCCCTTTTCCCTTTGCTCAGCTACCTTTGGAGTTGCAATTACAGGGCAAACAGCGATCTCTTTCCCTGTGCCGGTAAAAGCCTTCCTTGCACCTCTCGCAGTGAACCCCGGCAGTGTTGTCGTTGCAGTTGAGGCAGCGGAATCCATCGCCCGTCTGTCTGTGAAGCTCCTGATCGAAGACGCATTGCCAGGATTTCCCGTTGCAATCACAGACTAGGGAGGAAGGGGAAAAAACATCGTCAGAAAAAAACAACTCAGGGGCAATTCTCTCTGGTGTCTTTTGTGATTAGTAATAAAGATTATGCACGAGGTGCTCCATGTCCATTCAAACTACTCAATGGAGTAAGGTCAGGCAGTGCAACCGCTGGGGTGGGGACTGTGGGGGCTCGTGTCCCACAGAAAGGAAGCGGCCATTATGTAGCGCTGGCGGGTTGCTCCCCGGGAGAACACGGGTTCAGGGTTGCCAGACTGTCCAATTTCTCAAAAGAAACCAAAAATCTTAAATTCCATTTTTATGTGAAAATTGCTGACTTAAATATCTACAAGGAGTTCATTTTAAAACACCGAGCAAGTCTATGAGCTGGAGAAGACCTGAGGGCCACCCGCTGTGGCCTCAGCACAGATATAGCAGTCAACATCCACACCTGTCCCTCCAGTGACGGTCAAGGCCAGGAGGTGACCACTCTCTGCACAGGGATCTCCTCCCCCCTCACTGTGCCTTGAATGTCCCTCCCAAAGCCAGGTGCCAAGAGAACCATACTCCCATGAAGAATGACTTTTCCCAAGGGTCCAGGAAGTTCATCCTGCGGATGTTCTCAAGAGACCCGTGTAGTGACTAATATCTCCATGTGCCACCTAAATAGCCAAGGAGGCAACACGTGGAAATACTTAGCATAGTACCTGGTACACTGGAGACACTCAAAAAAATGTTTCCATCATGTTTTAGATGAGAAAAGTCATGGACGTTGGGGTTAAAAGAATGGATCAAATACCAGTTCCCGCTATTTCCTGGGCAAGTCATTTCAATTTTCTGAATTTTGTTTCTTTTTCTATAAATGCAGACCTCATTGTCAGCCTTCCTGGATTAAGAGCATCCCCCTGAGAGAAGAATATCAAGTGTCTTCGCATAAGCTACTTCATCCCTCACTCACAGGAGACAGGTATTTCCTCAGAAGAGAAAAGGGCAGCTTGGGCCAGGAGCGGTGGCTCACGCCTGTAATCCTAGCACTCTGGGAGGCAGAGGCGGGTGGATCGGTTGAGCTCAGGAGTT